AGTAGTAGTGGTAGCAGTAGTAGTAGTCATAGTAGTAGTAGCAGCAGTAGTAGTAGTAGTAGAAGTAGTAGTTAGTAGTAGTAGTAGTAGTAGTAGTAGTAGTAGTAGTAGTAGTAGTAGTAGTAGTAGTAGTAGTAGTAGTAGTAGTAGTAGTATTCCTTTCCTTCTTCTTCCACCTCCTCCTCTCGACCGTGTCCGGCGGCGGCGCGGCCGCCGCCTTGCCATTCCTCTGGAGGACGTGGACCCGGCCGTGCGGCAGGCTGCGGTGAAGGTTTACAGCCCGCTGCACTCCAGGCGAGCGCTTTTGTTTACGACCATCCTGTCGTGTTGGGTCCTCGCTTCGAAAAGGCAGCGCCCCGCGTCTCAGTCGCTCCCTTCCCCAAAGCGTCTGGCCTGGGCGTTGTTCGTGCCCAGCTGGTTCGAGCATTGGTTACGCCTTGAGCCAAGATGGTTTGAGCCAAGTGGCCTCGAGCTGGTAGCGTTACGTTTCGCGCCGGCGCCGTCTGAGAATGGCTGGGGATACCAAAGGGCAGCTCGGAGGCCAACACGAATTGCGTTGTTAGCTGCCCTGGGGGGGTGTGCGGCTGGGGCTAGTAGCGGCCGCTGTCGCGAAAGCAGGAAAGACTCCGCAGGCTGGCGGCCGACGTGGCGCGCCCCCACGCCCCGGCAGTGGCGGCGCGGCTGACCCTGGACGAGGACCTCTAGGTCTCCTAGACGGGGTCGGAGTAGATGGGGTCGGAGGATCGCGCCGCATCGCCGATGCATCAACAATGCGCCGCGATGCGGAGCCCGATTTTCTCCACGCTGGCGCCGCCGATACATCGCCCACGTCGACGATGCATCGCCGGTGCATCGCCGATACATCGCCGATGCATCGCCGATGCATCGGCGATGCGGCGCGATCCTCCGACCCCATCTACTCGGACCCCATCTAGGAGGCCTCTAGGACCAGGGCCAGGGGCGGGGCCCAAAAAAACTGCACACCGCATCCCGCAGCATCTGGCTTCGTTTAGTTGGTACGACCTCGTTGGGGTTGCGTCATGCTGCTGTTGTGGCGTAGTGGGATGAGGATACAAATAGAGGCACATCCTGCATCACGCTTTCTGCCGCGTTCTTTTGCCGCGCGACTCTCTGTATAGCTATTAGGGCCCTGGGTGCTGCAGGCCCGTATAGTCTGGCGACAACAAAGTCACTCCTGCCGGTAGTTCTTCGGGCAGGGTTTGCATGCAATGGCCTCGAGATTGCACCGGGCAGCGCAGGGGCAACGTTCTGGGTTCGAGGTTCGAGCTTAAAAACATGTCGTAGGATCTCGGCGGTTTTCCAGCCTGGAGGTGCTCTCCAACAGCCGCGCCTCGCCGAGAGCCTTCTGGGGGTGCCCAGATCGTCCCGAATGGGCGACGGAGACCCGAGGCATGGCTCGAAACAAATTCAGGATAGGTATAGGCTCGGGGGCGGAATGCATCGACCCCCAATCGCCCATCGACCGCCGATTGGGGCCCGATAGCCCGCCCCGCTCAGGAACGTGCGGTTCCACAATATGGGGCACATCGCAGATCGATCGGCGATGTGTCGCCGATTCTAGGTGGATGTTTCCCCTCTGATCCGGTTCCTCCTTGACGTTCCCCCGCAGCGGGGGGGGCGGGGGGGGGTGCCCAGGGAGAAATGTCAGGGCCAAGGGGAGGCGTGAGAGCAAAGAGGAGGAGGAGGAGGAGGAGGAGGAGGAGGAGGAGGAGGAGGAGGAGGATGTGGAGCAAGAGGAGGAGAAGGATGACCAGTGTAAACCCGAGATTCAGCAACGATGATAGAATACACCCTCCCTCCAAGTTCCCTTTTCATTGGCCCCTACAAGGGTTCATTTCCACTGAGGGAAGTGCCCCGTTGGCGGACAACCGTGTTGAAATCTTGAAGCGTGCCAAAACACCGTTCTCAGGACTTCAACGCCACGAGTCCCCCTGATCTTTGCGTCTTGACGATCCTGAATCGTGCCAGACCGCCATTCCTGAGACGCGAACACCGCCAATCAACGTAAGCGCTGGGCCGAGAACATCCTGAATCGTTCCAAATCACTTATTCTGGTATGTTAGGACACCGAACTTCTCCCAACGTTTGAAAGCCAAGGTGCGCGGCGCAAAAGCGAAACAACATTTTGAAGACGACCCACCCTCAATCCGTGAAGCTCTTGCGAATCTTTAAAACGAAGGTGCGCGGCGCTGAGGCGTTTTGAAAATGAACCGGCCGTAATCCGTGAAGAATTTGCCATTTTGTGCCACGAATGTGCGCGGCTCTGAGGCGAGAGCCACATTCTGAAAACAACCCGCCTGCAATCCGTGACACCCTTGCAAATGTTTAACACGAATGTGCGCGGCGCTAATGCGAGAGCCACATTTTGAAAATGACCCGCCCTCAACCCGTCAAATGCCTGTACACGTTCTACATTAATGCGCGCGGCGCTAAGGCGAGAGCAACAGCTTGAAAACGAACCGCGCTCAATCCGTGAAACCCTTCCATTGTTCAAACCGAGTGTGCGCGGCATGTTGGCGAGAACCGCATTTTTGAAGCGACCCGTCCTCCATCTGCGAAGCTGTTGCCATCTTTTCATCTTGAGGCCCATAAGTGGTAAGGAAGTCTCAGGCGAAACGCCCAGCCCGCCCTTCCGATCAGCTTCGGGGTGCGACAGGGAGGAGTTAGTCATAAGGAAAAGGAGTGGAGGAGGAGGAGGAGGAGGAGGAGGAGGAGGAGGAGGGGAGGAGGAGGAGGAGGAGGACGAGGAGGAGGAGGAGGAAGAGGTGGCCGTGGTGACGATTGGTCGGATCTCGCGCGCGTGCTGTCGCAAGAGTCCCTTTGCAACAAACGGGACGAAGTGCACGCGCGCGCGTCGTCGCGCGCGCACGCCGAAATCCTTCAAAAACCTTCGGTTTCGTCAGGCTTTCAAGATCGAGTGTCTCGACAGCATATAGGAAACAGCGTTTTTCAACGCCAGTTTAAACAAATATGCGCTTACGCTTCTGCGAACTCGCAGGAGGGTAATCTGTTCATTCAATTCCGTTCAACATGTCCATTCAATTCTACCAAACGGCCCTCTCGCGCCGCATGTCGTTTTTTTTTTTGGAACGGCCTTGCGCGCGCGCTGGAAGGGCACGATCCGTGTCAAAGAATACCATGCGGGCCACTCGCGCGTCGGCCGCGCGCGCATGTCGAACCCCTTCCAAACCCTTCATCACCGACGCGAGAACTCCGTTATCGTCGTCGGCGTGGCCAGAATCGACGCTGTCACTGGCCTTGCCGTCGTCGTTGTCATCATGGTCACCAGCATCGCTGCTATCATCCTCGCGTCTGCCGCTGTTGACGTTGCCATGATACGGCGCCCGCCTAAGTCGCCGACTTGCACTGAGGTCCCCGCTGGGAAGTGCCCAGCGGTCAGCGGGCCGCGACGGTCGCGCCAAACTAGCTGGCCGCGCGTGCGCAAACATGCGCGGGCTAGCGCGGCCGCAGGGATGCACCAACCAGCACCAAGCACCCATCGCAATCGCCTCCGCATGGGCTCATGCAAACCAAGTTGCGGGTGGGTGGGTGGGATGATTGCGCGAGCAATGGGGTTGACAACGCACTGCGAACAAAACTTACTTGCACCGCATATATTGCACCGCGTCTGCCGTCCCACACGGGTTGTACCACATTGTTCCGCATCGATAGCACCATATATATATATATATATATACAAGACTGCAATGGCGCTTCGAGCCATGCACCTTGGTCCTTGAAGATTGCTATGCAGGCGGAAACGGCAGGAAGGTCAAACGGACACTTTAACGATAACTCCTTGCTGCCTTTTCTGGCATCGCCGTTATAATAATGTTGTTCGTTATCCTTCATCCATGTTCCTCATTCTCGCCATACCCTGGGCATTCTCCCCATCCTCCTCAGCTCTTTTTGGTGAGGCTCCTCCTTGGAGAGCCTCTGGGAGCCTCACCAAAGTTCTCAAGCTTTCTCAAAGCCTTCTGGAGGCCTCCTGGGCGTGTTCTGGGGGCCTCTGGGGCTTCCTAAGGCCAACCTGCCTCTAACCGCGGTCTCCCTGAACGCCCCGGTCACGATTTGGAATGCTTCGGAGGGTGTCTTGGGGCCATCTTGGGCCGCCATGGGGCTCTCTTAGGGCCATTTTGGACCCCTGGTGTGCCGGTTTGGGGCTCTCTTGGACTGCCTGGAAGCCCTTTCGGATGGCTGTGGAGCGATTTTGGAGCCTCCCAGGCGACTTCGGACGCCCAGAAGACCGCTGTCTTGGAGCGTCGGGAAGCCGAAAAGAGGAGAACCCCAAATTCACCAAAAACCTGCATTAAATCAATGATTTGTCCCTCTTGGGGCCTTCTTGGGGGTGTTCTTGGATGCCTCTTGGTACGTTTTGGAGCGATCTTTCCGGATATGACGGCTTCTTGGAGCGCTCTTGTGCTGTCTTAGGATTCTCCGGGACGTCTCCGATGACCCCCCTGATCGCCCTAGGCGTGCTGCGAAGGCTTGGCAAAACGCCCTGCGAGGCCCGGGGGGCCGGTTCGAGGCCCGTCCGAAGGGTCCCAAAGCCCCAGATCCCGGGAGTCCGGTTTTGGGGGGGGGGGGGGGGCGGTTTTTCCCCCCCCCGGGGCTTGTAAAAGTATAGGAAGAGGAATATACATCACTAGAAGCACACTTGGGTCCACGCTGGCTCGCATAATTATGTATATCCGTAAGGGTTTCGCCCCCTGCCGTCGGCCCCCTATTTCGAACAATATTGAATGCAAAGGGCTGTGTGGGGAGGCCTGGGCGCCGTCGCGAGGCAGCGTCGGAGACCCGAGCGGTGGCCAATGTCGTACGTTATGCGGCTTGCACTGCAAACCTGAGACGGATCGTTCCTTGTGAGGACCCTGCAGCGTAAACGCTGCCATCCGACAGTGCGTGGTGCTGCGTACAACTGATCAAACTTCGGCTTTTGGCAGCGTGTGGGTTTTTTTTCTGTACTTCAGGGGCCCAGGATTCGTGCGAATCTTTCGTTTTTCGCTCCGTGCGCGTGGCGTCGCGGCCTGAAGTTTTGGGAGAGTGTCGCCACAGTGAAGCGACACGTTCAGCGCAGACCGTTCTTCAGAGCAGTCGTCCAGCGCGTGCGCAAGGCTGAGCATCGTCGAGGTAGGGGCGGAGGGGGGCGGCTGGCAGGTGGGAGCGACACGGGTTGTTCTGCGATGGCCGTTTCGCGGTGCGTCCGTTCAACCCGCAACGGTCGGAGATACGGGCGATCGTCGGAGATGCGCAAGCTGTTCTGTGATAGCCACGGGGACACGATTATGGCACAATTTACAAGGGAGTGTGGCTTGGGGGACGCAGCTGTTGCGTAATGTACAAGTGTTCACGGCCTCGGGAACGCAACGATTGCTTAAGTTACAAGGTTGTATGGCCCCGGGGACGCAACTATTGCATACTTTATAAAGTTTGATGGCCTCGGGGACGCGAGTATCGCGTAATGTATGAGGTTGTGTCGCTTCGGGGACGCAAGTATAATGTAAATTACGGGGTTGATGGCCTCGGAGGCGCAACTATGGTGTAATTTACATGGTTGCATATCCACGGGAATCCGACGATTGCGTAATTTTCGAAGGATTATGGTTTCGGGGGCGCGATTCTCACGTATTTCCAAATGTCCCACGACCCTCTCGGGAAGTCAGACAACGCGATCTGGGCGTTGTAATTTGGGCTGGTTTCGGCTCCCCCCCGTCGCGCCGACAGTAACAAATTACAGCAGGAAGCAGTAAGTAGAACTGCAACATTGGAACCTGGAAACTAGACTGGCGCAGGGAGCAGCAAACCAAAGCCTCGCAGCCTGATGGCCCCGCAAGAGGGCTGGCGGATATATCGATCCATCTATCTATATATATATATATATTTATCTATCTATCTATTTATATATCTATATATATATATATATCTATCTATATATCTATATATCTATCTATCTATCCATATCTATATATCTATCTATCTATATATCTATATATCTATATATATATATCTATCTATATATATATATCTATATAGCTATATCTATAAATATCTATATATCTATCTATATATCTATCTATATATGTCTATCTATCTATCTATCTATCTATCTATATATCTATATACATATATATGTATATCTATATATCGATATATATATATATATATCTACCTTTCCATATATCTATATATATATCTATCTATCTATCTATCTATATATCTATATCTATATATATGTATATATATATCTATCTATCGATCCATCTATCTATCTATCTATATACACATACAAGACTGCAGTGGCGCTTCGCGCCATGCACCTTGGTCCTTGAAGATTGGTATGCAGGCGGAAATTGCAGGAAGGTCAAGCGGACAATTTTGCGATAACTCCATGCTGCCTTTTCTGGCATCGCCGTTATAATCATGTTGTTCGTTATCCCTCCTCCATGCTTATTTTTCTTCATTCTCGCCATACCCTGGGTATTCTCCCCATCCTCCTCAGTTCTTTTTGCGGAGGCTCCTCCTTGGAGAGCCTCTGGGGGCCTCACCAAAGTTCTCAGGCTTTCTCAAAGCCTTCTGGAGCCCTCCTGGGCGTGTTCTGGGGGCCTCTGGGGCTTCCTAAAGCCAACCTGCCTCGAACCGCAGTCTCCCTGAACGCCCCGGTCACGATTTGGAATGCTTCGGAGGGTGTCTTGGGGCCATCTTGGGCCGCCATGGGGCTCTCTTAGGGCCATCTTGGACCCCTGGTGTGCCGGTTTGGGGCTCTCTTGGACTGCCTGGAAGCCCTTTCGGATGGCTGTGGAGCGATTTTGGAGCCTCCCAGGCGACTTCGGACGCCCAGAAGACCGCTGTCTTGGAGCGTCGGGAAGCCGAAAAGAGGAGAACCCGAAATTTTCAAAAAACCTACATTAGATCTATGATTACTCCCTCTTGGGGCCTTCTTGGGGGTGCTCTTGGAGGCCTCTTGGTACGTTTTGGAGCGATCTTTCCGGGTATGACGGCTTCTTGGAGCGCTCTTGTGCTGTCTTAGGATTCTCCAGGACGTCTCCGATGGCCCCCTTGATCGCCCTAGGAGTGCTGCGAAGGCTTGGCAGAACGCCCTGCGATGCCCGGGGAGCCGCTTCGAGGCCCGTCCGAAGGGTCCCAAAACCCCAGATCCCGGGAGTCCGGTTTGGGGGGGGGGGACGGGTTTCCCCCCGCCCGGGCTTGCAAACATATAGGAAGAGGAATACATATATATATATATATACATATGTATGTATACACATGTATATATATATAGATAGAAGGCGACACAGAGAGAAAGAGGGAGAGATATAGAGAGAGAGAGAGAGCAAGAGAGAGAGAGAGAGAGAGCAAGATATAGAGAGAGAACATAGAGAGAGAGAGAGAGAGAGAGAGCGAGCGAGAGGGAGAGAGAGAGAGAGAGAGAGAGACAGCGGGCAGTGGAGCGGATATTGGGAAGACGTAGGCCTCTTCGGGTCAGGGGCAAGAGCAGCGCGGCCAGCGGGAGTTGGAATGCGGAACCGAGGTGGATTGGAATAGGGACCAAGTCAAGGGGGCTCGGCACGAATTGGAGCGGGGACTCGAGGTGGAGCAGAGCATGGATTGCAGCTCTACTTTGGAGCAGGGGGGTTGGAGAAGGAGTCTGCTCTTTCCCTGGGGGGACGCCTCCCGACTGGCCTCTTCCTGAGTGGACTACCCCCCTTGTGGCCTCTCCTTGTTGTTCGCTGGTCAACTGCATTCCGTAACATGTGGTCATGTTGTGGACATTCATGTTGATTAACCATGACCATCTTTTCCCGTCAGCCTTCGGCCGAGAGCGAACGCAGGCAGCGAGCTGGTCGGGCGGGCAAAGATAAATGGCTCCAGAGCGCTCCAGAACGCTTTCGGAGAGTTTTCCTGGCTCTGTCTTAGCTGGACCGGCCAGAGAAGGAGTGGGAGAAGGAGGAGGAGGAGGAGGAAGGAGGAGGAGGAGGGGAGGAGGAGGCGGAGGAGGAGGAGGAGGAGGAGGAGGAGGAGGGAGGAGGAGGAGGCGGAGGAGAAGGAGAAGGAGGAGGAGGAGGAGGAGGAGGAGGAGGAGGTGGCGGAGGAAGAGGAGAAGGAGGAGAAGGAGGAGAAGGAGGAGGAGGATGAGCAGGATGAGGAGGATGAGCAGGAGGAGGAGGAGGAGGCGAGGAGGAGGTACCAGGGACCAGGCTGGGGCCACCATCCGATTCGAACGGGGGGGCTGGCAGAAAGTGGGCGGCAGCGGCCGCCTTGGGGGCCTGGAGCCCCGCGTCCGCGGGGCCGACGGTGCCGCCGAGCTGGGCACGGCCGCACCGCCAGCCCTACAGCTAGCGGGGCTCGCGCCCAGCCAGAACCTCGTCACGGAACCAGAGCTGGCCCGCGGTCGGGGTGCCCTGACAGGGCTGCAGCAGCGATCTGAACGTTGGCTGCTCTATAAGTGCGTGGGCGCCGCGACGCCTGCACACAGGGTAGCGCCCTGCGGGCTGCACCATGTGCTCCTGAAACTCGAAGACCTCGGGCGCTCGGGTCGGAGGCGGCGACGACGACGTCGACGACGACGACTCATCCTGCAGCCCGAGCGCCGACAGGGCCAATCGGACGGCTCTCGAACGCGCCCTCGGCAGGGCGCCATCGAGCCTCTCCGTCCTGACTGCGGTCAAAAAAATGCAAGGCCGTCGGCTCGCCTCGCACCGCGCGCCAGGCCGCTCCAAACGAGCTCGAGCCTTGGCCGTCCTCGCAGAGCAGTGACACCATGTGCAGCGGACCGACCGTCAGGGATCTGCTCGAGGTCATGAGACAGCAAAAGAAGAGGGGCCGTGGGTTTTTTCGGCCGCGGGGCGACCCTCAGTTCGACCACACTGCTACTGGCCACCAACTGGGCCGCCCTGGAAATGAAATCAAACGTCCGCTTAGTGTGCTTCAGGCGCTCCTTGAGCGCCTCCACAGCTACATCTGCGACGCAAATCTGGGCAGAGCCTAAATTCGCAAAGAAATCAGCCCAGGCATTCCCAAGGAGATCATACACACGAGACGCACCACCCAAACCACCTCCAGGCTCAGCTGCCAACACCTCATCGAGATCTCCGTGGGCTGGGGTCCAACGAAAAGTCGGCCTCTCAGGCCGATCCTGATAGATCTTAAAAATCTCGCGCCAGACGCTGGCATGACGGCTCGCACCTCTCTGCAATCTGTCAGCCCACTCGGAGCCTTCACGGACTGCGGACAGGTGGTCCGAGACAATCTCTGCTCCCCACGGGGCCACTCGGAGCGCCTCGAGAATGGCCTGCCTCTCGGACCTCGGTCTGGCACCTCCCCGACAGGCCCCCGTAGCGGGCCCGAATCGGCCAGCCTTGGGCCGAGAGCTCCACGGCCGCCCACCCGCAGCGGGTGGCTTCAGGGACCCCGTTGGCTTGGACAGACCCGTCGGTATAAATCTTCCGCCCCCAACTTAAATGAGTGGCACCCCAGGAGAACACGGGCAACGCAGTGGGGACCGAACTCAGCTCAATCGGAATCGACGGGAGACCGTACGCGAGCTCAAGCGTGGCTTTTCCTTCCGCTGTGAGGACTGGTGCGTCAGGCAGGCGGCGGTCGTGGCCCTCGGGGACCTGCGCGTGCCCGAGTGCGCGGAGGAGGTGGCCCTGCTGTACTGGGACGGCAGCACCCAGGTGCGCCGGAGCGCCGTCACGGCCCTGGTGAAGATGGGCGCGCCCGCCGTCTACGTGGCCGCCTTCCTCCAGGATGCAGAGATTTAAGGCCTCCCAGGTGGGGTCCGACGTAGGTGAGGTCGGAGGGTCGCGCCGTATCGTCGACGCATTGGCGATGCATCCGCGACGTCGGCGATGCATCCCCGCCGTCTGCGTGGAGAAAGTCGGGCTCCGCATTGAGCCGCATCGCAGATGCATCGGCGGTGCGGCGCGATCCAGCGACTCCATCTACTCGGACCCATCTGGGATGCCCAGAGAGATCCACGGCCATCTGCATCCACCTCAGAAGTAGAACATCCCCCGATACGCTGCCCTTCCCTCGTATTGGGCGGGTGGTAAAGGGGGGTGAAATACATGGGGGGTGAAGAAATGGACCCTGGATTCGCAACGAAATCCTGGTCAGAACGCACCCCCAGAGAGATCTGGCGAGTTTCGGTATTGGAACTCGTTGGTTCCCCCGTGGTGTATACGTGTTCCTGCGAGGCCACACCAGGAGGGCGTACACATCGATCCTGAGCGCAGGATGGGCCTGGCCAGGGCTGGTGCAGATGTATAGCTGGCGCCATCCTTCGCTGATCAGCAGTGAGGAATAGCGAGGTCCGAGATTTGAGCTTCCCAGACCCCCGACGTCATGAGTTGTCATAAAACGTCGACCCCCAGATGTTTCGACCCATTCCTTGGGACCAGTTTTTGCATCCTGAGTTCTCTGATTGACGGTCCCGAGGCCCAGGGAGGATCCCCAGGGTTAGGTCGGGCATGTCCCTCTACTGGCGGATATTGGAGAACAAAATCAAACATATCAAGAATTAATCAAAAATGGCCCCCAAAATACCCCCAAATCGTCCCCATATTATTTTTTGTTTACTTTGGAGTATTCCTGTAGAGGGATACGCCCGACTTAGCCCCAGGGGCCAGAAATAGCGAAAAACTTCCCGTCGTGGTTTTGTCATGCCTCGAGGGGGTCTGGGTTCGTGGCTGCCGACAGAGCAAACTCTGTGTGCCCCCACCGCTGCTGCCTCGGAACCGTGCCCCCGGCCGGCTCTCCTTGGGGATGTCTTGCGATTGCGCAGTGGCGGGTGCGGGTGTCTGCCCACCCACGGGGGCGGGGCGATCTCCAAATCCACGACTCCCTAGGGATCCAGGCCCCCACCCCTGACAGGGGGCGGGAAGGTGTCCAAGTCCAAATCCACCGCTCCCTAGGTATGCCTCGTAGAGTGGCGGATGTGGACACCTGCCCGCCTCCAGTGGGGGCTGGGGGGTATCCAAGTCCGCCGTCTCCCAGGGATCCCAGGCCACGCGCAGAGGGGGAGGGTAAGGGGGAGGGGGCAAGGTTTCTGAGAAGCACTCCTGCTTCTTAGAAGGCGCGGACTTTGTGCATAGATGTAGGGCCGGCGCCTTTTCCAAGAAGCAGCCCCCTTCTAAGAAGCCTTCCCCCTCCTCCTGCCCCACTGTGCGCGCCGCCAAGGTATCCAAATCCACGGTTCTCCAGGGACCCAGGGCGGAATTCCGACGGCTGCTGCCGTGGATCTGTCTTGGCGCCGCGAGAGGAGCCCCAGCGGGGGAGTCCATGGGCGCAGTGCGTCAGGCAGGACGAAGTGTGGTGAGTTCTGGAGCGGCCTCTGGATGCGAGGTCCGACGCCGCATTCCCTGGAGGCATAGGAAGTTCATTTAAGGCATCGTATATATATATATATATATATATATATATACATCTGTATATATTGCAAAGAGCAAGATGCCTTCAGACAGTTCTTGCCTTCTGGAAAAAGTGCTAGCCTTCAGAGGGTTTTCTGTCTGCGTTCCATATTGTTGTTGCCTTCGGAGGGCTCCTTGCCGCCGCCCCCGACGTCGTGACTTTCTCATGGCCCCAGAAGTCTGGTCCGAGGCCTGGCCAAGGTCCCCGGAGGCCGAGAACTACACAACAGCCGCCCGTCATGCTTTTTCATTTCCCGAGGGGGGCTGGGTTCGAGTAGGGGATCGACTACAGAATTGATCTGCCCCCAAACTGGTTTCCGTAGAATCTACGGAAAATGCGCAGAATGTCTGGTAGATCTCACACTTCTCGTAGATTTGACGGAACAGCCATTTCGGGGGTAAACCAAGTCTGTAGTCGATCAACCATTCGATGGGTTGACAAGCTCAGGGAACCGCGCTTCACGCGTGCCGGTCCCGGCAAAAGGGTAGTCCTCCACCACGGTGGAGGCGGCGCAGGGGCGCGGAGAAGACCGCGAAGCATGCGGAGCGAACCGCGAAGCGCGGGCCTGGATGCCCTGCAGAGAGCATCCCCAGACCCCCGTCGAGGCATGACAACAATCACGGCGTGAGGTTTCTCGCTGTTTTCGGCCTCGGCCTCGGGACCGTCTACAAAAACGACTCAGGATGAAAAACTGGTCCCGGGGAATGGGTCGAGACCTCTGGGGGTCGACGTTATGAAAAAGTCACGACGCCGGGGGTCTGGGTCTGCAGACCCTGGAGGCGAGACTCCGCGCCCCGTCGGCGAGTCCCCCTGCTGGGCCGCCTCCGAAGGGGATTCGCACATGGAGCGCTTCTCATGTCCCCCATGGGTTCCCGCGTCTTGCCCTCGAGCGTTTCTCACCCAGAAGTGTTCGACTCCGTGACGCGGATCCCCAGAGGTCTGGACCCCGTCCCCAGGGCTGGCTTTTCACCCCGAGTTCGGGGCTCAAGAGACGGGGGTCAATGCAAACGGGGGTCAGCCAGAGCGCCAGATCTTGCAGGATGTTGCAGGGCCAGGGTCGCACTGACCCGGGTTTGGGTGCAGGATCCTGCCGGATCTTTCTGGATCCTTCGCGTTGACCCGGGCTTGGGCGCAGGATCCTGCAGGATCCTGCAGGGTTCTCAAAGAGGCCTGACTGACCCGGGTCTGGATTGACCCGGGGCAGCATATCCCCGATCCGAGTCGGTGTTTGACGGTCTTTGTGCCCGGTGGGGCCCCTGGAGGCCGAAAACTACAATATATTTTTTCACGACGACAGGAAGTGTGTGCATGTCGCCATGGAGGAAGAGGAATCATATACCCTGTGTCCCTCAATAATTCTGGGTACCCAGTCTACAGGTACCTCCCGGACTACAGATACCCCCTCCCCGAACTACAGGTACCCCGGACTACAGGTACCCCCCCGGACTACAGGTACTCCCTCCCAGACTACAGGTACCCCAGCGGACTACAGCCACGCGTGCGTTGACGTGTGAATGCGCGTTCGCCCCGCCCCGGACTACTGGTACCCCACCCCGCCCCGGACTACTGATACCCCCGCCCGCGTTGTTGCAGGTACCCCACCCCGCCCTGGACTACTGGTACCCCCCCTGACTACAGGTACCCTTCCCCGGACTACAGGTGCCCTCCCCAGATTACAGGTACCTCTAGAACGATTGAGGAACACAGAGTACTGCCACCGCCCGAGGACGGCGATGCCTCTGTGCGCAGCGAGGCGCAGAAGGGCCACGAAGCCGCGAGCGCGGCCGAGAAGGTGCAGGAGGGCGGCGACGTGCCCGAGGTCGAGTGAGACCCGCTCCTCGTGTTCAGTCGGGCCCGTCCCTCTTCAGGAGGAATATTCAAAGATTATAAAAATGTACGGGGATGTTCTCGTTGTTTGTTTTAGAAATGCCTTTTCTGTCAATTTTTGAATTTTGTTTGACTATTCTTAGTTTCGTCCAAAGTCCGCCTGTAGGCGGACGTGCCCGACCTAACCCCAGGCGTTGATCCTCAGGACCGGCGCCACCCCGACATACTACTACAATGTGTGCGTCGACCCCTAGGGGCGACGTGGGCGCTGAGAAATCTTATAGTATAAGCTGCGTGGCGGGCGCTGTCTAGCCGTACCGCTCGGGAAACGAGATACTACATGATGATGTTTGTATTCGATGTTCGGGTCAGACGCACGCCTCCGAGGAGGACGCACAGTACCAGTATGTCCTTCAGCGTCCCATCAGGACGTGAGTTATGACAGGTTTGTGTCGTGCTGCCGCGGCGGCGGCGGCCTTGGCGTGGGCGTCCAAGGTTGAACGACGCCAGTGGCCCAGAGTCGGCCGACGCGGAAAGATCTGGCAATCGGAAAGCCGCCGTTCGTTCAAGCTTGAACGATTTGCGCGGTGTCAGAAACCAACGCCAGGGTCGCCACGACTCGAACCGGCCGTAGCCCGCTGAGCTCCTGGTAACACGCAGCCGCCCGTGTCGGCCCTCATTGCAACGCCTGCGTCGCATTGAAGGGCTCCAGTGGACAAGCACACGTTGGCGCCGACACACGTCCTGCGTATCATCGGCCCAGGAAGGCCGCGCCTGGAGTGGCAAGCGCTTAGCTGGATAAGAGCAGTCGCTGATGACAACATCCTGTCGGGAAAGCGGTGTCTTCCTTCATTGAGGACAAAAGAACCCCTCACCCTACTAAGACGCGGCCTCACCGAGGTCCCCGTCTTTGCATTAGGGATAATAAGCCTAGGCGTTTTGGTTCGATACATCTGCAGATGAGACACCTATCCCAAATGTTCTTGGCCCTACTAACTTAGGATCCATCCCAAAGGGTTAGGGGTTCTTTTCTGGTCAATCATCCCTCTTCGCACCACTGCCGCACGAAGAGCAGCATGCTCTTCCCCCTCGCCCGCCCGGGCCATCCCAGCACCAGATGCGTCTGCTCCGTCTCCCGCTTCCCGGCGAACGTCGGCCCGACGCCCTCTTGTGCCGTCGTAGCCGTGACCTCCTCCGCGTGCTCCCAGGCAGCCGCATATGGCGTTGTGTGGGGCAGTACTGCGCGTACGTGTGCGGATTATTTGGGATGTGGGGGTGAGTGCGGGCGACGACGACGACGACGACGACGACGACGACGACGACGACGACGACGAGCAGCGAGGAGCCGAGGGCGGGAGGCGCATCCAGGACCACGGCCTCGCCGTCCAGACTCCCGCTGCGCGACCCAGCGGGTACGGGGCAGCTCTGCGCCGCCGCCCCGACCGAAACGTGCACATGGAATCGCGCGGCAGTGGGAATCGCTCCGCGTTTCGGCACCGCCCCATCATACGTACTAACATTAAGTGGGGCGTGTCCCTCTACGGGGGGCATATCCAAACATAGTCCACACATAGTTTGGGGACGGCTTTTCGATCATTATTTGATCATTGTTTAAATATCTTTTGACTGTTTTTTAATTTTTCTTCCAAAATCCGCCTGTAGGGGGGACATGCCCAACCTAACACTACGTGTGCGTCGCCCCGCCAGGGGCGGCGCGCGCGCGCCGGGAAATCTCCTAGCATAGTCTCGGTGGCGGGCGCCTTCTGGCCACACGCCGCTCAGGAGCCGATACACCACAAGACGGTTACCCTAAATGTCGGAGCCGGATGCACGCCTCCGAGGAGGACACGCAGTATCAGTATGCTCTTCCGCGTCACACCAGGACGTGCGTGACGGCAGGTTTGTGTCGTGCCGACGCGGCCGCGACCTTGTTCACCCCATCGGTGTCCAGACCGCGAGGGCATGAAGATGGGACGCGCTCGTCGCCCGTGCACGGGGGCGCGACCACGGCGCACCCGCAACCCCGCGCGTACGATGACCGGCGCTCCTGGGGCGACCGCGGCCGCGTAGCCCAGGCCCGCCCCGGCCCAGCGGCGGCGGGGTGGCCCGCCGGATCCTCGCGGGGAGGGCAGGGCGGCTCAATTGGCACGCCGCGCCACGTCCCCGCCGCACACGCATGGCCACGGCGCTCCCGTCGGAGGCCATCTTGCCCCGTGGCTCCTCCTTTCCCTCCAACGGATCGGTGCGGCCTTGCTCTTGGGAGGGCCGACTTCTTACGCATGGTAAGTGCGGATGCCAGCGCTGGAGGGCCCCAGAGGCTCGCATATCCGTCCTGGCCTCCGCGAGCCGCCAACCTCCCCCACCCTTTGCCTTCCGGGCGCTTTGTAGCCTGATCCCCGCTCTTGGGTGGACTAGGGAGGGAGGAAGAGGAGGAGGAGGAGGAGGAGGAGGAGGAGAAGGAGGGGGAGGAGAGGGAGGAGGGGGAGGGGGAGGAGGAGACAGAGGAGACAGAGGACGACACGGAGAAGGGGATGATGATATGATGATGATGATGATGATGATGATGATGATGATGATGATGATGATGATGATGATGATGATGATGATGCTGATGATGCTGATGCTGATGCTGATGCTGATGCTGATGCTGAGGCTGATGCTGAGGCTGATGCTGATGCTGATGATGATGATGATGATGATGAGGAGGAGGAGGAGGAGGAGGAGGAGGAGGAGGAGGAGGAGAGGGGAGGAGGAGGAGGAGGGGAGGAGGAGGAGGAGGAGGGAGGAGGAGGAGGAGGAGGACGAGGAGGAGCAGGAGGACGAGGAGGAGGAGAGGGAGGCCCAGCACAAGTCGCCGGTCGCCGATCTCAGACGACGGAGGGTCACCGGCCTCTCTCGGGTGCGATGCAGCGCAGCCGAATATATTTCTGTTTTCGGGGGCGGCGTTGGGGGTGAATAGGCCCAGGGGGGAATGCATTGACCCCACGCCTGCGGTCGGGAACTTTTGGAGAGCGAGTCGTTCCGCCGGTTACGACCCACCACGCTTCGGCGCGACACGCTGTCCACTTCGCTTGGTCCCGAGGCGTCCACGTCCCGAGCTTTTGCGAGCTTTCCGCTCCGCGGAGCGGGGCGACTCGCTCTCCGCTCGCAAGGCGCGGCGTGGCGCTGAGGCCGCCGTGACGACGCGCTGCCCAACAGCTCTTGACCGCAGTTGCAAGTGGCCCGAGCTCCCACCCCGCCCAGGCACGGGGAGAGTCGCCATCGGGGGCCTGCCGCCGATGCATCGGCGAGTTGCCGCCGATCCGAGCGCGATATTTGTTCCCTCTGCTTTTGTGCAAGGAGCGCTCGCTGGAAGCGGACGCCTGCCAAGGGCCACGGAGTCCTCGGCTGGAAAGGCTGTGCTCGCGGGGCTGCGTGCGCGGCAGAGCTTCCATGCGTTGCGTCGTCCCCCAGGCATCCGCGTGAAGGAGAATTGGCCCCGAGGACAGCGGGTGTCTTGTTGTCTGGAGTGGCTCATCTTATCAATGCCTCACTTTTTACACGCTCGCACGCGTTATGGGGCAGCCTCCCGGAACTCAGTCCGCCACCGATAAGTCCACGGATCAAAGCAAGCGAGTCTTGGCATGCTTTGGGCCGTCCTCAAGCCTTGGGAGGGCGCCAGGAGCCCAGGGGCCCGAATACTGCGAACAATGTCGCGGACCCCCTTCCCCAGTGCCCGTTTCCGCAGTGCAGATTCCAGCGCCCTCGCTGAAGTGGATGTTCCGCGTGCTGTCGCTGGCAGCCGCCACCAGCCCTGACCTGGCTCCGTCTCGCCGATTGGAGGCCTCTCGCGCGCGAGAGCGCGAGATGGTGCTCTCGCCCCACCGCCGCGCTGGCATTTCTTGAAAGTTGCGCTCCCAAGGGGGTTCAATCGCGGAGATTCGACGAACTGGGCCCGAGACCGTGGCGCAAGAAATTTTTGGACAATCTCCAGGAAAATCTTCCCAGCGGCCTCCGCAGGGACATTGCCGCAGAAATGTGTCCTGCTGCGTGGCTGCGACGCTCTTGGGCTTACACCCCCAAACCCAGCCACCAACCACCAACCACCAAGCACCAACCACCAACCACAGCCAACCATCAACCACCGACCACTGACACACAACTACCCACAAAGCGGGAGGGCGAGGAAATGAACCTCCACCAGAGGGATCGCAGGTGCACTCGGCAGACCTGCATCCCTGGGGCGCCGTGGCACGCACCGCTCCCTCAGGGGGAGCTGCCCGCCTGCGGCCTGGGCAGCGAGGCCCAAAACGCTGAAGTCCCGTCTGCAGCCGGTCGGGAACGTCCGCCACCTGCCAGGGCTGCCAGGACCAGACGGTCTGGACAGACCAGACGGACACGACGACACGACGGCGACTTGCAGCACTTGGTGCGAGTTTGGATCTCCCCTCTTAGGATACAGGCCGCGAGGGCTCTCGCAGAGTGTCGGCACGGCCTTCCAGGGTCCTCTTCGCACGTCCTTATCATACGGGTTAACTGTTTCCAGCAGTCCCCTTGAAAGTGGATTGCGCTTCCCAGCATGGGCGCAGCGCCAGTGGCCAATCCTCCTGGAACTCGGGCCGTGCGCCACTTAACCACACGTTGTGATGTCTCTGGAAGAAGAGAGATGGGCATAGGCATAAACTTTTGGAGCTCCGCACGAATTTCTTGGATCTTCGCTGGACCCCCCTCCCTGGCGCGCGAAGCGCGCAAGGGGCGGCGCGAGAGGCGCCGCCAGGGGGCCCCAAGCGCAGATCCAAGAAATCCGCGTGGAGCTCCAGTAGTTTCTGTGTATGATTTGTTTCGTCTCTCAGATCTCAGAGCCCAGGCCCTCTCCGAAAGTGCGTCTTCGCTCTGGAACGGCGCGCACGTCTCTTCCGCGAAGTCCTCGGGCGCGGGGCCTCGCGCGCGCGAACGCCTTCCTTTCGCAATCTTTGAGTGCGCGCCAGTCGCACTTCCCAGCTGCGCCACCCATGGTTATTGTGCTGTCGTAGGGGTGGCGGGGCTGGGCGGGCACGCTGGTTTGTGCGTGCTGGTTGGCTTGATCCCTATCCTCATTCCCTGTTTGTCTCCCGCTCTTCCACCTAGCCGTTGGATGACCAGCCAATCTTGGGGCCCCTTTCTACCAGCAGGGAAGCAATGCACAGTCGATATTCTCGGTTTCAACATGGACATGTTGTCGTCCAAGTTGCAAATTGCGTGGCGGGAATGGGGTTGGGCGCACATCCCGCGCGAAAGGCCAGAATGTCGCTCTCGCTTCGGCGCCGCGTTCTTTTTATCTAGAGTGTGTGTGTGTGTGTGTGTGATTGTGCGTGTGTGGAGGTGCCGCTTGGGCGCGGCGCGCACTTTTGGCACTCAACTTGCGCGGCGCGCACTTTTGGCTCTCAACTTTTCGTCGACGCTCTCGGGGGTCAACATGTCGCTCTTGTCTCGGCGCCGTGCAGATTTCGCCTGAAAGTGGCGCTACCGCCTTGGCGCGGCGCATACTTTTCAGTCGCCAGTCCTGAGGGGGCCCTTCGCGAGCGGTCGACTCGTGGACCTCGCCCAAGCTCCGTGCGCACTTCGGTCGAAAGTGGCGTTCCCGTGCAGGCGCGGCGCATGGTTCGTTCGCCGAGTCGCATGAGAGCGACCGCGGCAACGGGGCCGCGCGAGGGCGGGCGAAATGCCGACCTCGGGCAAGCGCCGCGCAGCTCTTCAGTAACAGTGGGAGTGCTGTGCCAGCGTGGCGCATGCTAACGAACGAACGACACACGCACACACACATACACACAAACACAAGCACGCACGCACGCACACACGCACAGACACACAGACACA